TTACATGTGGATAATACCTTTGGTTGGCAAACAGGTGACTGATAGCAAAAAGAGTAGATAGACATCGCTCTTGTGGGCCAAATTGACGTACGATTCTGTTGGATCCACAAGGTACTTTAAAAGCCTTTGACAAAGCGAAGCAAGAAACACATCAACATGCGATTCGATTGCAAACATTCGACATATTATACATCTGCCACCAAATCGAAGGCTACCGAAGATCCGCCCCACTCACGTGCCGTGCTTACCCCGGAACATGTGAAAACTCCAGATCGAGCCGTTTTTCATGTGACGGCTGCGCTAGTCCCAAAGGGGGCGTGCCTCGGCGATACGTCAGATGCGTTCCTTGGGGGATCATCTGGCGGCTGTCCCGCGCAAATGCAATAAAGAGAGGATATTAGAGCCGAGTTCCAAGCGACACCGACACTGCTGGGCCTCGCTTCTTTGGGTAGAGTACCTTTTTAAGAGACGTGTCTTCTACTCTCTGCGTTGCTTTCTGGGTTTCTCTGATCGATCTGCACGACTACCTACGGCTAACTTACCTGCTTGTTGATTGATTTGGTTAGAGAGCTTGAAGGCACATTCTTTACATATCTATCTCACTAAACAGAAGCCAAACGGACGAAAAGATGGCTCCTCAAGGAAAGCAGGCGCTTCTGCAGAAGAACCCTGATGATGTAGGTCAACTCTTTCATTCTCGGCGACGACAGCATCATCCCCCGCCCTGCGAACATCGGAGAGAGATCATACTGCTACAGGAAGAGCCAGCCAGGACACAACAAGAACAAGCCCCTTCGCGTCTCCTCGAACTCCTCACCTTCCTGCCATCAAACACAGCATTACTAACCTCCTCTCCCACAGATCGTCATAACCTGCGCCCTCCGCACTCCTATAACCAAGGGCGGCAAAGGCGGCTTCAAAGACACCGCGGGCGCCGACCTCCTCCACAGCGCCTTCACCTCGCTCATCAGCCGCTCGGGCATCGACCCCAAGCTCGTCGAGGACATTGCCGTCGGCTGCGTGTTGGCTCCCGGTGGCGGCGCGACCGAGTTCCGCGCTGCGGCCCTCGCGGCTGGCTTCCCTACGGATACGGCGGTCAAGAGCTTGAACAGGCAGTGCAGTAGTGGACTGCAGGCGTGTGTGGATATTGCGAATGCGATCAAGGCGGGCGTTATTGAGGTTGGTGTTGGTGCGGGTGTGGAGAGCATGAGCAGTCAGTATGGGTGAGTTGGAGATTTTTCCTTCAGTCTTGGGTACGGATGCGGATTCAGGTCAATGGTTCGGCTACACGGGTCGCTCTCGAAATTCCTGGGGATTCTGAAAGGGTGGACGGTGGAACTGGTGCTGATAGGAAGGGATACTGCCTCGCCTCCGACATTAAAATCAACTCGCACTAAGGAGCTGGACCAGACCCCCAGCAAAAGCTGTCTGATGGGCTTCACACCTGTATACACAATCAAAGACCAACTGGCTAACATGGCTGCAGCCCCGGTGCCGTAACCGAATTCTCCGACCTCCTCAACTCCCACCCCGAAGCCAAGAACTGCAAAGTCCCCATGGGTCTCCTCTCCGAAAAGATGGCGAAAGACAAGTCCATCGCCCGCAAAGACCAAGACGCCTTCGCCGCCGCATCTTACGGCAAGGCCGTCGCGGCACAAAAAGAGGGCCTCTTCGACCAGGAGATCGCCCCCGTCAAGAACGTAAAGTTCATCGACCCCAAGACCGAAGAGGAGAAAATCATCACCGTCTCTCGCGATGATGGCGTCAGGCAAGGCATGACGGCGGAGAGCCTCGGCAAGATCAGGCCCGCCTTTGCGAAGGACGGGTCCATCCACGCCGGAAATGCCTCCCAGATCTCCGATGGCGCGGCAGCGGTCCTCATGATGAAGCGCTCGACTGCGCAGAAGCTCGGCCAACCCATCCTCGGAAAGTACGTCACGGCGTCCATCGTCGGTGTACCACCTTTGCTCATGGGCGTCGGCCCCTGGAAGGCTATCCCCGCCGCTCTCGGCAAGGCGGGCATCAGCACCGGCGACGTTGATATCTATGAGATCAACGAGGCCTTTGCGTCCCAGTGCCTCTTCTGTCTCCGCGAGCTGGGAATTGATGAATCCAAGGTCAATCCCAAGGGCGGCGCTATTGCCTTCGGTCATCCCTTGGGCTGCACCGGTGCTAGGCAGGTCAGCACGCTGCTTTATGAGTTGAAGAGGAAGGGTGAGAAGGTCGGTGTGACGAGTATGTGTGTGGGCACGGGTATGGGTATGGCGGCTGTTTGGGTTGCAGAGTAAGTGGCTGGTTTGCTGGGATGTGGTCGTGGGAGAAGTGGGGAGGAGAAAGGCGAAATGGGTCGCAGTGAGAAGGATAAGGAGGCGGAATTATGGTGGTGAAGGACCAGGAGATGAGGATAGACGAGGAAATATTCTTTTTTGCTTTCTTTCCATACCATGGGTGCGATTTGGCATGGAAGCTTCAATTTGTACACATACAGATCTCCTTTAGTCTAGAGGAATTGGAATGGTATTGGCATAACCACATCAGAGTGGGCAAAAAAGTTCGTCTCATGGGACTTCGAGACTGTCCATGCTTCGTTGAAAATTCAAGGGGGTCTCCATGTGGTTCTCTTTGGCAGAGTATCCCAGTCCCGGATGACAAGGGGCTGTTTGATGTGAATCACGTGACCGCGTCGTGTGACCCGACCGCAACCGGCACCTTATCTCGACGAAGATAACAGTCACCATGTGGCAGTTGGTGTGAACAGCAGATGCATCACCCCACATGCAGGAATTCAGGAAGGCATTGGAAGTGAGAATATTGATTCAATTCTCAGTCGCCGTAGCGACTTTCATGCTGCATGCAAAGCAAGCATGCGCCTGCTACATAGAACATGTTAAAACGCCCCCATGTCATTCCCACCAGTTCCAGTCCATCGCCGCCCTGCCTAAACTAAGGGCCCAGAATCAAAGAAGTGCAAGTGTGATATATCCTCCACAAGAACATCAACCGCCTATTGCCCACCACGGAGACGGAGCACCAAGTGGAGCGTGGACTCTTTCTGGATGTTGTAATCCGACAGCGTGCGCCCATCCTCCAGTTGCTTGCCGGCGAAGATCAACCGCTGCTGGTCCGGGGGGATGCCCTCCTTATCCTGAATCTTGGTCTTCACGTTATCGATGGTATCGGACGATTCGACCTCGAGGGTTATGGTCTTGCCGGTCAGGGTCTTGACGAAGATTTGCATGCCACCGCGGAGGCGGAGCACCAAGTGGAGGGTCGACTCCTTCTGGATATTGTAGTCGGACAGGGTGCGGCCATCTTCCAGCTGCTTGCCAGCGAAAATAAGACGTTGCTGGTCAGGTGGGATGCCCTCCTTATCCTGAATTTTCGTCTTGACATTGTCGATGGTGTCGGAGGACTCAACCTCAAGCGTGATGGTCTTACCCGTCAAGGTCTTGACGAAGATCTGCATACCACCACGAAGACGAAGGACGAGATGCAAGGTGGACTCCTTCTGGATGTTGTAGTCGGAGAGGGTGCGACCATCTTCCAGCTGCTTGCCGGCGAAGATGAGGCGCTGTTGGTCTGGAGGAATGCCCTCTTTGTCTTGGATCTTCGTCTTCACATTGTCGATGGTGTCAGAGGACTCAACCTCAAGAGTGATGGTCTTGCCGGTAACTGAGGACGTGTTAGATGAGGTTACTTTGAGCTTTGATGGTGAGTCGTCAACTTACGAGTCTTGACGAAGATCTGCATGCCACCGCGCAGGCGGAGGACGAGATGCAGTGTGGATTCCTTTTGGATGTTGTAGTCGGAAAGAGTGCGGCCGTCCTCGAGCTGCTTGCCCGCGAAGATCAAACGCTGCTGATCCGGAGGAATGCCTTCCTTGTCTTGGATCTTGGTCTTGACGTTGTCGATAGTATCCGAGGACTCAACCTCGAGGGTGATGGTCTTGCCAGTGAGAGTCTTGACAAAACTGCGGAGTGTGGAGTCAGTCGCTGAGCTTGAGGGCGCCACTGACGCGGCGTCAACAATGCGGGGTGCTTACATCTGCATGATGGCGGTGTGTGTTGTTGAGTATGCTTAGTGGAAGTTCTTTGAGGTGGTGGATGGTTGGCTTGGTTCAGTGTGAGCTGGGTGGCAGGTGGAGGTGTGTTGTGGACGAGAGATGGAGGTTGAAGGTGGGAGGTGGTGGTTTATAGAGGAGACGCAGGTGGCGGCGCAGCAAGGCAGGCGTGAAGGCAAGCGTTACGGGCGATAAGTCATCACGTGGTCCGTGCTTCTGGCCGGCCAGCTGGCTGGTGGCACTTCCCGAACCTTCCAGCGAGCTGCACGCGGCTGGAGAGAAGTCACCTTGATAGCCCATTTCTCAGCATAATTATTACAGTGACAGTGATAGAGCAAACATCAGAATTGCTGTGGTCTCTATGAAATGTGGCTATTGTGACCCTGCGCCGCCTTTTGTCAGACCTGGTGGTGTGATGCTCCCAAAGCAACTCCTCCGAGCGAGTTCCACCCGCCGTTATCGCAATCCACCGCCACACTCAGCCTCGTGACCTCATTCCCAACATCCTGAATTGATGCCGCGCATGAGCCTGGCCTGGCTGAGGCTGGAGGACATGTCCGAAACCTGGGGGATTGGTTGGGAACGTGACCTTTCGTCTCTCACATTTGAGATATGGGATATGGCTGGTTGAGGACCACAACGCCTGTCGAGGTATCTGTCGTAGTGCAGGCTGACCAAGTGGACGTCGAGGAACCCATCGCTGAGAGATTTGACATGATGCTAGATTAGGTATTCAGTCACATTAATCCTGTCACTATCTTCGTTGTTGAATCTACAACCTCAACCACGTTCCAACGATTCCTCAATGTGTGCTTTCATGTCGAAGCCAAACAACATTGCTACCGTACCCTGTCAACAGCGTTCCGCAGTCCCAAGCATAATGTACCCAGCTTCAGCCACTGCACGATCAACTCAACCTATCTCCAAACCGCCAAAAAGATGGGCCGTATGCGATTCGAACGCATGTCCTCCTAGTTGAAACCGGGCGCGCCGACCACTGCGCCTAATGGAACGAGTCAGCAATAAGGAGACGAACTTTAAGGCTGAACGAACGTACCAAGCAGCCCTGCTTCATGTGCCGGTGTCGTGTCAATAATTTGGACTGAACATTAGGTAGTCTTCTCAGCGGAGTCACAGGGCGGCGTCCGAAAGGGGTAAGTGTTGAGAATCGCTGGAATCAGATTGATCTGATATCCAGGGCCGAAATGGCAGGGAATGTTCAGATTTACAGTATGTACACATGGATAGAAACAAGTGAAGATCATATCTACATTTCTAAATGTCTAGATTCATCCCTCAGCTGAGCTCGAACTCTTGAAACGAGTACACCTCACATCAAAACTTGCCCAGGAGTACTAAAAAAAATCAAAAGTAAGAAGCTCACCCGCAAAAATTGAGCTGTATACGATTCGAACGCATGTCCTTTCGGTGACGTCTGTATATTTCCGAACGCGCCGACCACTGCGCCTGTTTCACAAGGTTAGCCCTAATCCTCCAAGCGGAAAGGAGTGTGGATTAACCTACCAAGCAGCCCTGTCCTTGATACTGCGCGTTGGCAAAGTATATCAACGCTAACCGGAGGGGCGGCGTCCGAAAGAGGTAAATGACTGGGGATTTACTGGACTCAGAACATATATATATGATGTCGCGGGGAAATATGGACAGCCACGGTGAGGTAACTATGCGATGTACGCAAGCAATTGAACTTGAGGTCTATACATCCCCTTTGTGTTTTCAAGAGGCTAATTGTCTCCCACTGGCTGGGACCTCGTACACACAAAAATCCCCCTTTTCAACCCCGGTTTTACTACGCAACAGTCCAAAAGAAAAAAGATTATCTGCAAAAATGGGCCGTATGCGATTCGAACGCATGTCCTTTCGGCTTTTTAATTAAAATCCCAAACGCGCCGACCACTGCGCCTGTATATGGGGTTAGCTCCTCGAACAACTATTCGAGAAAGATTTGTGGGTAAACGTACCAAGCGGCCCTGCTGCAGATGCTGCGCTGCTGAGGGGCATATGAATGCTGACCGGAAGGGCGGCGTCCGGATGGGGTTAGTGTGGGTTAGTTGGATTGAGCGGGGAGAGAGGGCCTGATTCGATGGGAAATTGAAAGCTGGGGCGGGGAAGTCGAGAACTCGAGGAGACATCAAGGGAGGGAAAGTGAAGGTAAGGAGAGGCGAGGTTGGAAACTGAGTATGAGGATGGTGGGGAGAGTGGGACGGTACTTTGTCTTTTACTGTCTATAAGGTACGTGTTCACTCATACGCTGTCCACTGTGGGCAATGCATGCGGAGATATAGAGTAACGAGATTGCCGTCACTTTCTGAATGAATTAACTGCGACTGCGCAGTTGAGCGGCATTTGCGAGGAGTTAGCGAGCAGGAAGCGGAGTTAAAAGATGCCAACCTCCCCTCAAGAGCTGACTGATCACCCTTGACCGGGCCTATTAACACATTTGCAACCTGTGAGTCTCCGTACAGTTACACACTTCTGCCCAGGCAGGCTCATAAATCCGACATGAAGGGAACAATAATATATAGCCAAGTGCCAGGTCGAATGATTGCTTCTCTTCAGGTCTTCCTCTTCTCTACCTCTTCTCGAGTCTTTCAATTATCTCTACAGCCATACAAGTCCTTCGACTGCTCCTCTGTTTCCTCCGACAAAAGGCTTTTTCAGCCCCCAAGATATCAACTGCAGTCTATCCTAAACAATGGCGTCCCGGTCCACAACGACAACCTCCCCAAAGGTAATGAACATAACCGGTGCTGCCTCAGGCTTCGGCGCCCTTACCGCCCGCGCCCTCGCAAAAAAAGGCCACACGGTCTATGCCGGTATCCGCGTCTCCCATCCAACCGGTCCCGCAGCCCTCTCCTCCATCACCTCCTTCGCCTCGACCCACAACGTGGACCTCCTCGCCGTCGACCAAGACGTTTTAAGCGACTCCAGTGTTACCGCTTCCATCTCTCACATCATCAAAGAAAGCGGCAGAATAGACGTTCTGATCCACAACGCAGGCCACATGTGTCTCGGCCCGACCGAGTCTTTCACCACGGCCCAACTCGCACACATGTACGATATCAATATGCTGAGTACGCAGCGGCTGAATAGGGCTGTTCTATCGCATATGCGCAAAGCACAGTCCGGACTTGTGGTCTGGGTTTCGTCGAGCAGTGTGCTTGGGGGTACGCCGCCATTCCTGGCACCCTATTTTGCCGCAAAAGCAGGTATGGATGCGCTGGCCGCTAGTTATGCGCCTGAGCTCAAGCGGTGGGATATGGAGACTTCTATTGTGGTACCTGGAGCATTTGTGAAGGGGACGGAGCATTTCGCGACGGCGATGGAGGCCGAGGATACGTGGGTCGTGGGGAAGTATTTGGGAGAGGGACAGCCGTATGAAGGCGTCGCGGAAGAGGTGGTCGAGGGGTTTGGGAAGATGATTCCAGAGTAGGCGGATGTGGCGGAAGTTGCGGGGAAGATTGTCGAGGTCGTGGAAATGGAACACGGCGAGAGGCCATCTAGGGTTTATGTGGATCCGGCAGAGGATGGTGCGGAGGTGGTAGGAGGGGTTAGAGATCGAATTAGGAGGGAGATGTCTAGGGGCCTGGGGTTGGAAGGTTTGATTTAACGACAACTTGCGAAAAAGCGTCCAGGAGCTAGGAATACTGCATTGTACCAAATACATGCCTACCTACCAATACAGTAAAAGTTAAGATGACCTGCATCCGTTGACCACTGACGCTTATCTTCATTGCTGCATTGCCAGTGAGAAGGGGAGATGGGCCTATCTATCTAGGTATACAAACAACATCCACAAGACATTCACCGCGGTCAACCTACCAGGTAGGTATGATCAGACTGAAGACCATGAACACATGAAAAGAAAGCAGTAGAAGAGACATAGAAGAGATGTGAACTGGAACGGAAAGAAAGGTGCGCAAGGTCCTTGGTCCGATGGGTGCGAGAGTCATTACTGAGACGCTCGGCATGATACAGCTGCAGATTGATTGAGACTGTGAGGCGCAGATCGTCAGAACGCTTGCCAGCACTCCGAAGTATAGCGAATGTGACGCTTCGATGGTCTGCGCAAACAACGGAGCAGGGCGAGGTGGTCTCTTCATCATACGGGGATTGAAGGGAACAGATCAGAGAAAGGCGCAACGACGAAAGAAAAGAGGCATGGTCCGGGAGATTAACCGTCCCTTGGAGGGTGAAAAGCTGGCGGGCCTCTGAATCACTCCCAGGACTCTCGAAGACGGCGGGATGCTTCAATTTCTTGAAGTGATATGGAGGACTCTCACGGCGAACAGAGTCAGCGTTGCGCTGGCAACGAACCTTGAGGCAGGCGGCGGGTGCTTCTGGATGTGGCGGCGAAAATTCATGAGTGCGTGTGGCGGTGCAGGCTGTGGTGTGGCGGTGCGATGACATCGCGCCCCGCCATGGAACTTTTCCACGGCGGATGGAATGGAAGAAGGGAACGAGAAACTGCCAGATGAATGAAGATATATCCAGAAGCTTGCGGAACGTACAGGAGCAGCCTAATTCTCATGGAAGCTCGCATCATTTTGCCGTAATTTCAAGCATTGCCTGGTTGGTTCCAGCTCCTTCGTCACTGGATTCCTTGAGCTTCGGTCGCTTTCTTAAGCTTGCCCTCTGCTCGCCCAGTCCTCCATAAATTCTCTGCCTCTGCCTCACCTCCACCACTTCTCCATTCTACAACACACACATCACTCAGAGCTCCCCCATTCACCAGAGCCTCCTACTTTCATCAACCACATCTTCGTCAACCCATTCTCCATCCACATATACCCCAACTACACCCTTCTTCCACACCCGCACACAGCCTCACCATGGCACCCGCGATCGGAATCGACTTGGGTACCACGTACTCCTGCGTGGGTATCTTCCGTGACGACCGCATTGAAATCAGTAAGTAGCATCATCTACTGTTCACCGCATTCAGTCTCTAACATCTCGCAGTTGCAAATGACCAAGGCAACCGAACGACGCCGTCCTTCGTGGCTTTCACCGACACAGAGCGCCTCATCGGTGACTCAGCGAAGAACCAAGTCGCCATGAACCCCACCAACACAGTTTTCGATGCGAAGCGTCTGATCGGCCGCAAGTTCGCCGACGCAGAAGTGCAGGCCGACATGAAGCACTTCCCCTTCAAGATCATCGACAAGGGTGGCAAGCCTGTCATCGAGGTCGAGTTCAAGGGCGAGGACAAGCAGTTCACACCCGAGGAGATCTCTTCCATGGTCCTGACCAAGATGCGAGAGACCGCTGAGTCGTACCTTGGTGGAACCGTCAACAATGCCGTAGTCACCGTTCCCGCATACTTCAACGACTCCCAACGGCAGGCCACCAAGGACGCCGGTTTGATTGCTGGTCTCAACGTCCTCCGTATCATCAACGAGCCCACCGCCGCTGCCATCGCCTACGGTCTCGACAAGAAGACTACCGGCGAACGCAACGTCCTCATCTTCGATCTCGGTGGTGGAACCTTCGATGTGTCTCTGCTCACCATTGAGGAGGGTATCTTCGAGGTCAAGTCTACTGCCGGCGACACTCACCTGGGTGGCGAGGACTTCGACAACCGTCTGGTGAACCACTTTGTTAACGAATTCAAAAGGAAACACAAGGTAATATAATAAAAATTTCCTCTTTTTTCCCCAATCCTCCCCGCCATCCACCAAAACTGCAAAGCCGCCCGGTCCTCCGGGATAACTCCCGTACTCTTTGCCACGGGCTGCAAACGGTCACTGGCAGAGGTGTAGTGGTTGGCGGCTTTGGGTTTGTCTCTGCTTCTCAAAGATCTCATACTAACTATTTTGCAGAAGGATCTCACCAGCAATGCCCGCGCTCTCCGCCGTCTCCGCACCGCTTGCGAGCGCGCGAAGCGTACCCTCTCTTCCTCCGCCCAAACCTCCATCGAAATCGACTCGCTTTTTGAGGGCATTGACTTCTACACCTCCATCACCCGTGCCCGTTTCGAGGAGTTGTGCCAGGA